GGGGCCAGGGGAGGGGCGGGGTTGTGGAGGTGGGCGGGGCCTGCTGTGATGGGCGGGGCTTTGTGTGGGCGGAGCCTGCTGTGAGGGGGCGGGGCCTGCAATGATGGGCGGGGCTATGAGGGTGTGTGTGGAGCCTGCAGTGATGGGCGGGGCTGTGAGGGGGCGGGGCCTGCAATGATGGGCAGGCATGAGACAATGTGGGCAGAGTCTGCAAGGATGGGCGGGGCTATGAGGGAGTAGAGCCAGCAGTGATTGGCAGGGCTATGAAGGTGTGGGTGGGGCCTGCAAAGATGGGTGGAGCTCTGAGGGTGGGCGGAGCCTGCAGTGGTGGGCGGGGCTATGAGGGGGTGGTGCTTGCAGTGATGGGCAGAGCCTGCAGCGATAGGCGGGTATATGAGGGTGTGGGTGGAGTCTGCGGTGATGGGCGGGGTTTGACAATGTGGGTGGAGCCTACAGTGGTGGGCGGGGCTGTGACAATGTGGGTGGAGCCTGCAGTAATGGGCGGGGTTTGACAATGTGGGCGGAGCCTGCGGGAATGGCAGAGCTCTGAGGTTGTGGGCGGAGTCTGCAGTGATGGGCGGAGCCAGCAGTGTTGGGTGGGGCTGTGACAATGTGGGTGGAGCCTGTGGTGATGGGCGGGGCTCTGACTGTGGGTGGGGCCAGCAGTGATGGGCAGGCATGAGACAATGTGGGTGGAGCCAGTAGAGATGGGAGCAGCTCGGTGTGGGCGGAGCCTGAAGCAATAGGCAGGGATTTGTGTGGGCGGGGCCTGCAGTGATGGGCGGGGTTTGACAATGTGGGAGGAGTCTACAGTGATGGGCGGGGCTCTGAGGGGGCGGGGCCTGCACTGGTGGGCAGGCATGAGGGGGTGGGGTCTGCAATGATGGGCGGGCCTTTGTGTGGACGGGACTTGCAGTGATGGGCGGGGCTATGGGGTGCGGGCGGAGTCTGCAGTGATGGGCGGGGCTATGGGGGTGTGGGCGGAGCCTGCAGCAATGGGTGGGGTTTGACAATGTGGGTGGAGCCTGCAGTGGTGGGCGGAGCTCTGAGTGTGGGCGGGGCCTGCAGTGATGGGCCGTTTGACAATGTGGGTGGAGCCTGCAGTGGTGGGCGGAGCTCTGAGTGTGTGGGCGGGGCCTGCAGTGATGGGCCGTTTGACAATGTGGGTGGAGCCTGCAGTGGTGGGCGGAGCTCTGAGGGTGTGGGCGGGGCCTGCAGTGATGGGCCATGTTTGACAATGTGGGTGGAGCCTGCAGTGGTGGGCGGAGCTATGGGTGTGTGTGTGGAGCCTGCAGCAATGGGTGGGGTTTGACAATGTGGGTGGAGCCTGCAGTGGTGGGCGGAGCTCTGAGGGTGGGCCACGCCTGGACTGGTGGGGGGGGCTATGGGGGTGTGGGCGGAGCCTGCAGTGATGGGGGGGGCTCTGGGGGGGCGGGGACTGTGGTGATGTGTGGGGCTATGAGGGGTGGAGCCTGCAGTGACGGGTGTGACAATGTGGGCGGGGCCCGCAGGGATGGGCGGGGCTATGAAGATGGGGCGGGGCCTGCATTGAGGGATGGAGCTGTGAGGGTGGGTGGAGCCTACACTGGTGGGCGGAGCTGTGGCGATCTGGGCGGAGCCTGCAGTGATGGGAGGAGCTCTGGGGGCGGGGCCTGCAGTGATTGGTAGGCATGAGACAATGTGGGCGGAGCATGCAGTGATGGGCGGGGCTATAACACTGGGGGCGGGGCCTGCAGTGACAGGCGGTTTTTTTACAGTGTGGGCTGAGCCTGAAGGGATGGGCGGGGCTGAGGTTGTGGGCGTGGCTGAGGGTGGGCGTGGCTCCATGGGCTGGGCGGGGCTCCATGGGCTGGGCGTGGCTCCGAGGTTGTGGGCGTGGTTCCGGTGGTGGGCGTGGTTGCGGTGGTGGGCGTGGCCCCGCTGACCCCGCCCTCCCGCAGCCCTGCGGCAGCGCCTGGCCGCCATCCTGGACGCCTGCGTGCTGTCCAAGCGCTGCCCCCCCCGCTGCAGCCACCGCCACAAGGACGTGAGGGACGGGGTGATGGGGGGCTCGGGGGTCCCCGCTGGGGGAGTTTGGGGGTCCCAGAGGCAAGGCAGAGAATCTGGGGGTCCCTGAGGATTTGGGGGTGCTGGGGGCAGGATGGGGGTCCCTGACTGGGGCAGTTCGGGGTTCCCAGGGGGAGGGCAGAGTGTCTGAGGGTCCCTGAGGATTTGGGGGTTCTGGGGGCAGGATGGGGGTCCCCGCTAGGGCAGTTTGGGGGTCCCAGAGGCAAGGCAGAGAATCTGGGGGTCCCTGAGGATTTGGGGGTGCTGGGGGCAGGATGGGGGTCCCTGACTGGGGGAGTTTGGGGGTCCCAGGGGGAGGGCAGAGTGTCTGAGGGTCCCTGAGGATTTGGGGGTTCTGGGGGCAGGATGGGGGTCCCCGCTAGGGCAGTTTGGGGGTCCCAGAGGCAAGGCAGAGGATCTGGGGGTCGCTGAGGATTTGGGGGCGCTGGGGGTCCCGCAGGCTCGCTGCGGGCCGGCGTTTGGGGGCTCCCCGGGGCTCTCGGGAGCTTTCCGGGGTCCCTGAGGGATTCGGGCTCCCGCAGGCGCTGTGGGTGCGGGCTCTGAACGCCGCCCTGGGCGCCCTGGCCCTGTTCCACCTGTCCTACCTGGGCGCCCTGTTCGACGTGGAGGCCGAGGACGCCGTGGAGGAGCAGGTGGGACCCTCAGCCCCCCTCAGAACCGCCCCCCAGCGCGGCTCGGGGCCGCCCCGAGCCCGACGCCATCTCGGCCCCCTCAGGGTTACGGCATGGCCTACACCGTGCGCAAGTGGTCGGAGCTGCACTGGGCCAGCCACTGGGTGACGCTGGGCTGCTGGCTGCTGGCGCGGCTGCTGCGCTGAGCCCCGGGGAGGAACTGGGAGGGACTGGGAGGAACCGGGAGGACCGGGCGCCATCGGGGCCGCTCCGCGCCGCCGGAAGCGCCTCTCGCTGGCTCCCGACTTCCGGCGCGCGGGAAGCTTTTGCCCTTCGTTGGGCGGAAGTGGCGCCGGGGGAGCCAATAAAGGCTGCGCTCGCTGGCTCCTGTCAATCATTCCCGGCTGGCCAATGGCGGCGCGGGGCGCGGCGCATGCGCGGAGCCAGAGCTTGGGGCAAAGTTCGCTTCATTCAGCCCCGAAACCGCGGGGAACGTATAGAAACCGTGGGGAACGTATAGAAACCATGGGGAACCTATAGAAACCATGGGGAACCTATAGAAACCATGGGGAACCCTATAGAGACCGCCGGGAACCCTATAGAGTCTGAGGGGAATGTACAGAAACCGCGGGGAACCTATAGAAACTTCAGGGATCCTATAGAGACCGCGGGGAATGTATAAAAACTGCTGGGAACGTATAGAAGCTGCGAGGAACGTATAGAGACCTTGGGGGTCCCTATAGCGCCCGGGCAGCTCCTATGGGACCAGGAGTGTGCCTCAGTTGCCCATAGGGACCGGGGGGTCCATATGGCCCTATAGGGACCGGGGGGGTCCCTATAGCCCCCAGAGAGGGGGGTGGCCATATGGTGTCTATAGGTACCAGGGCAGTCCCTATAGGTGCCAGGGGGGTGTGGCCATATGGTGTCTATAGGTGCCGGGGGCGCTCGGAGCCGTCAGGTTCCTTTGTCCTTGCTGGGAGACCTGCAAGAGAGAGACCCCGCGGCGTCAGCCTATGGATTCTATAGGGCCCTGTGGATGCTATAAGGCGCTATGGATCCTGTACATCCCTATGGATTCTATAGGGCCCCTATGGATCCTGTTCAGCCCCATGGATGCTATAGGGCCCTATGGATCCTGCATGGCCCCTATAGATCCTGTACATCCCTATGGATCCTATAGGGCCCCTATGGATCCTATAGGGCCCTATGGATCCTGTACATACCTATGGATCCTGTATGACCCCTAGGGATCCTGTACGGCCCTATGGATCCTGTACATCCCTATGGATTCTATAGGGCCCCTATGGATCCTATAGGCCCCTATGGATCCTGCACATCCTTATAGATCCTGTACATCCCTATGGATTCTATAGGGCTCCTATGGATCCTATAGGCCCCTATGAATCCTGTACATCCCTATGGATCCTGTACAGCCCTATGGATCCTGTACGGCCCAGGGGGGGGCCTCACATCCAGGAGGGACCTATGGAACCCATATGGCCTGGGGGGTGTCTCCTATGGATCCTATGTGGTCTGGGGGGGTGTCCCCATGGATCCCATAGGGCCCAGGCAGTTCCTATGGATCCCATAGGGCTGGGGCAGTTCCTATGGATCCCATAGGGCCAGGGCAGTGCCTATAGATCCCATAGGTCCCAGGCAGTCCCTATGGATCCCATAGGGCCCTGGGGGTGGGAGGTGTCCCCTATAGATCCCATAGGGCTGGGGCAGTTCCATATGGATCCCATACATCCCGGGCAGTCCTGTATGGATCCCATACACCCCGGGTGTCCCCTATGGATCCCATACATCCCAGGTGTCCCTATAGCCCCCATAGGTCCCGCGTTAGTCGTTAGTGCCCAGCCGTCGTTACCAAATCCGCTTTTATTGGCCCCAAATGGGGAAAAACCGCCCGGCCCCTCCCCCCCTACAAAATATGTACATCGGGGGTCCCTAATTAGCCTAATTAACGCCTCGTTAACCCCTCGTTAGCCTTCATTAACCTCTGAGCCCTTCATTAACCCCTTGTTAGCCTCGTTAGCCCTTCATTAACCTCTGAGCTCCTAATTAACCCCTCGTTAACCGCATTAACCCTTCATTAACCTCACTAACCTTTCATTAACCTCGTTAACCCTGCCCACCTCATTAACCTCTGACCTCATTAACCTCTACCTTGGGGTCCCCCAGCACCCAACAAACCTTAACGAGCCCCCATCAATTAACGAGCATTAATGAGCATTAACAAGCTGCCCATCGCCCTAACGAGCCCCCATCAATTAATGAGCGTTAATGAGCATTAATGAGCTGCTCATTGCCTTAACGAGCTCCCATCAATTAATGAGCATTAATACACTGCCCATCACCTTAACGAGCCCCCATCAATTAATGAGCATTAATGAGCACTAATAAGCTGCCCATCACCTTAATGAGCCCCTATCAATTAATGAGCACTAACGAGCTGCCCATCGCCTTAACGAGCCCCCGGCACCCCAAGCTCGGGGTCCCCTCCTGCTGAGCTCCTTCCTCCTGATGAGCGCTAATTAGTACTAATGAGCACCAATGAGCTTAATGAGCCCAAATGAGCGCTAATTAGCACTAATGAGCAATAATGTGCACTAATGAGCCTAACGAGCCCCTGCCACCTGCTGACCCCTCACCTGTGACCCTGGAGCTCCTCCCTCCTAATGAGCCATAATTATCCCTAATGAGTCTAATGAGCTCCTGCCACCTGTGACCGTCACCTGCTGGCCCTGGAGCTCCTCCCTCCTAATGAGCGCCGATGAGCTCTAATGAGCCCAAATGAGCACTAATGAGCCTAATGAGCCCCTGCCACCTGCTGACCCCTCACTGTGACCCCTCACCTGCTGACCCCAGAGCTCCTCCTTACTAATGAGCCCAAATGAGCACTAATGAGCCTAATGAGCCCCTGCCACCTGTGACGCTCACTTGCTGACCCCAGAGCTCCTCTTTACTAATGAGCCCAAATGAGCACTAACGAGCCCTAATGAGCCCAACGAGCCCCAGCCACCTGTGACCCTCACTTGCTGACCCCAGAGCTCCTCCTTACTAATGAGCCCAAATGAGCCCTAACGAGCCCTAATGAGCCTAACGAGCCCCTGCCACCTGTGACCCCTCACCTGTGACCCTCACCTGTGACCCCAGAGCTCCTCCTTACTAATGAGTCCAAATGAGCCCTAATGAGCCTAACGAGCCCCTGCCACCTGTGACCCTCACCTGTGACCCTCACCCGAGACCCTCACCCGAGACCCCCGCCCTGCCCCGCCCCGGCGCCCTCCCCTCCGGGTCGCTGCCCGTCCCTAGGGCCCCACTGACTTGCCACCGTCCTGGCCGCGGGCGCCGGGCCGGGCACCGGGCAGGGCGCCGGGCAGGGCGCCGGGCTGGGCGCCGGGCCGGGCGCCGCGGGGCCGGCCGTAGAGCACCACGGCGGCCAGCACCATGGCGGTGCCGGCCAGGAAGGGCGCGCGGGGCCGGAAGCCGAAGAGGTGCGCCGAGGCGGCGGTGGAGGCCAGGATGGAGAGCGCCGTGGCGAAGCCCTTGAGGATGTTGTCGGCGTAGCGCACCACCACGGCCACCAGCAGCCCGCCGGCCGCCTGGTTGACCACCACGGCCCAGACGGCGCCGTTGTAGCCGTAGAAGAAGCCGAGCGCGGCCACGGCCGGGCCCTCGGCGGCCAGCATGGCGCCCAGCCCCACGGCCGTGCCCACGGCGCCCAGCTGCACGTTGCGCAGCCAGATGGAGCCGCCCGAGCGCTTCAGCAGCCGCTCGAAGTAGACGCCGGCGAAGCCNGTTAGCCTCGTTAGCCCTTCATTAACCTCTGAGCTCCTAATTAACCCCTCGTTAACCGCATTAACCCTTCATTAACCTCACTAACCTTTCATTAACCTCGTTAACCCTGCCCACCTCATTAACCTCTGACCTCATTAACCTCTACCTTGGGGTCCCCCAGCACCCAACAAACCTTAACGAGCCCCCATCAATTAACGAGCATTAATGAGCATTAACAAGCTGCCCATCGCCCTAACGAGCCCCCATCAATTAATGAGCGTTAATGAGCATTAATGAGCTGCTCATTGCCTTAACGAGCTCCCATCAATTAATGAGCATTAATACACTGCCCATCACCTTAACGAGCCCCCATCAATTAATGAGCATTAATGAGCACTAATAAGCTGCCCATCACCTTAATGAGCCCCTATCAATTAATGAGCACTAACGAGCTGCCCATCGCCTTAACGAGCCCCCGGCACCCCAAGCTCGGGGTCCCCTCCTGCTGAGCTCCTTCCTCCTGATGAGCGCTAATTAGTACTAATGAGCACCAATGAGCTTAATGAGCCCAAATGAGCGCTAATTAGCACTAATGAGCAATAATGTGCACTAATGAGCCTAACGAGCCCCTGCCACCTGCTGACCCCTCACCTGTGACCCTGGAGCTCCTCCCTCCTAATGAGCCATAATTATCCCTAATGAGTCTAATGAGCTCCTGCCACCTGTGACCGTCACCTGCTGGCCCTGGAGCTCCTCCCTCCTAATGAGCGCCGATGAGCTCTAATGAGCCCAAATGAGCACTAATGAGCCTAATGAGCCCCTGCCACCTGCTGACCCCTCACTGTGACCCCTCACCTGCTGACCCCAGAGCTCCTCCTTACTAATGAGCCCAAATGAGCACTAATGAGCCTAATGAGCCCCTGCCACCTGTGACGCTCACTTGCTGACCCCAGAGCTCCTCTTTACTAATGAGCCCAAATGAGCACTAACGAGCCCTAATGAGCCCAACGAGCCCCAGCCACCTGTGACCCTCACTTGCTGACCCCAGAGCTCCTCCTTACTAATGAGCCCAAATGAGCCCTAACGAGCCCTAATGAGCCTAACGAGCCCCTGCCACCTGTGACCCCTCACCTGTGACCCTCACCTGTGACCCCAGAGCTCCTCCTTACTAATGAGTCCAAATGAGCCCTAATGAGCCTAACGAGCCCCTGCCACCTGTGACCCTCACCTGTGACCCTCACCCGAGACCCTCACCCGAGACCCCCGCCCTGCCCCGCCCCGGCGCCCTCCCCTCCGGGTCGCTGCCCGTCCCTAGGGCCCCACTGACTTGCCACCGTCCTGGCCGCGGGCGCCGGGCCGGGCACCGGGCAGGGCGCCGGGCAGGGCGCCGGGCTGGGCGCCGGGCCGGGCGCCGCGGGGCCGGCCGTAGAGCACCACGGCGGCCAGCACCATGGCGGTGCCGGCCAGGAAGGGCGCGCGGGGCCGGAAGCCGAAGAGGTGCGCCGAGGCGGCGGTGGAGGCCAGGATGGAGAGCGCCGTGGCGAAGCCCTTGAGGATGTTGTCGGCGTAGCGCACCACCACGGCCACCAGCAGCCCGCCGGCCGCCTGGTTGACCACCACGGCCCAGACGGCGCCGTTGTAGCCGTAGAAGAAGCCGAGCGCGGCCACGGCCGGGCCCTCGGCGGCCAGCATGGCGCCCAGCCCCACGGCCGTGCCCACGGCGCCCAGCTGCACGTTGCGCAGCCAGATGGAGCCGCCCGAGCGCTTCAGCAGCCGCTCGAAGTAGACGCCGGCGAAGCCCGAGGACAGGCAGGACGCGGCCACGGCCGCCAGCCCCACGGCGTAGCTCTGCACCGGCGCCGCCTCGGGGCCCGGCGACGGCGCCGCCGCGCCCGCCGGCGGCACGGCCCGCGCCTGCTCGGCCTGCACCAGCGCCACGCCGGCGAAGAGCAGCGCCAGCGAGAGCCACTGCAGGCGCGACAGCGCCGTGCCCAGCAGCAGCACCGAGAACAGCGCCGTGGTCAGGATCTTCAGCTGGTACGTCACCTGCGGAGGGACGGGGACACTCACCTGGGGTGGGGACAGGGACAGGGATGGGACGGTCACCTGGGGACAGGACAGTCACCTGGGGTGGGGATGGGATGGGACAGTCACCCAGGGTGGGGACAGGGACAGGGATGGGATGGGATGGTCACCTGGGGACAGGGACAGTCACCTGGGGTGGGGATGGTCACCTGGGGACAGAGACAGTCAC